TGCTGTCACTGAACGCAATAACCATGTTTCTATCAGAGAGCAGTAGATTCTTTGCTCTTACTGCTTCTTTGACATCCTTAAAAATTATGGCTGGTCATTGGACTCCACCATATATAATGAAGCAAGTTGTTTTTTTTATAAAATCTGCGTTCTGTTTGCAACCATCTTTTTAAAACAATTAAAAGAGCACACACTACAAGATTTCTAACATAACTTTATTAACCCAAAAAGCCACTGTTGTGTCGTCTCTAATTTATTTACCTTTTGCTACTTAAGACTGGCCTTCCGTGAGTTCATGGCTAAGCTCCCCAACTACCATTTACCTGTCTAATGAGAATACCCTTATTGCCCACTAGGGTAATATCATTGGACTGTGGCTTAGCAGACAGGATTTAGCCATTAAGACAAGAAACGTCTGGCTGCAGCAACAATGTGAAAGTTTATCAGGGCACAGAAGAGGTTTTTCTTTCTAATAAAGCTAATAGCAGGCATCTTGTAAACCTGCCACAAGCATAGGCAATTCAAAATGAGCATACGATGGAAAAATGCACAAGCAGAGGTTACCTTCAGTAGAGACCATATGTTAAAATGATTTGTAGAACCAGATATATAGGCAGCTGAACTCACAAGGAAGTATCTACATTTCTTCAATACGTCAAGTATGACCCCTTCCCTCCTGAACCTTTCTGTTTCTGTCCCAAAAGGGAGGCTCAGAAGATGGGAAAGGGCGTGGCCAGGGTTGCCTTTTATAGGAAAAGTCAAGACTTGCATACACATTTAACTGGCTCTGGAACTTTGTTTTGAATTGCAGTTGTTAAATAGGAAGGTAACCTCCACTTATGTGTTTTTTATCATATGCTCAGTTTGCATTTCGAGGGTCATTGGCAAGTTTACATTATCCGCCTATGCACATTCAAAGGCATACTGTATTTACAAATGTCCTTGTGTAAGAGCCCCTGAAATGACTCACAAAGTGTCATTTGTACCAATACAAATGTTTAAAGTGAGAAGTGCTTCTCTATGTAAGAAAATACGGCACATGGTCCATTAATATATTTTCTCTCAGCTTAATGTTTGAAGCTGTGTGGTTAACCTGCCCCAGGGAAGTTAATTTAATTCCTCTCCATGGTGATTATAAAATAATGTAATATTTATATGCACTCTGGTTTAGCATGCTTCTTAATGGGTTTTTTTGGTGCTACAACAACTTATTGGAACATAATTCTGTGTAGTACACTGTATATCACTCTGCTGTCTCCTCCAATTAGTATGTTCCTTGTTAACACACCTGCATGCAACACACCTGATTGGCTCTCCCAGTCTGAGGCTGCTGTATAGGGGCCTGTTGATATCTAGTCAAAAATAGGTATATACATTAGTCAGACTTAAAAAAATGCATTGAATGCTTTATTGTGAATTCATTATTTATAAATCTTAAGCCTTGAATTATTTTTTTATGTTTAACTAGGGTGTATCTTTAACATGACTGAGCTATTTGCAGTCAATGCTCATTTGCAAAAATATGCAAGTCCAGGCCTAAATCATGTCAACACATTTGTCAACTTGTCAACTTGAGACAATAAAAACACATTTTTTTTACAGAGGAGTTTATTGTGTCACAATACCTATTAGAAAAACTAAGCAACAATTCCTGTCCAGGTGATGGGTGTCAGACTGAACAGGAACTTAGGGGAAATCTCCTGCATGGGGATATTTTAAATCTAAAAAGAAAAATCTCTGCAATGGAGACGCAGACAGCATTTAAAACTGGAAAGTTCTTGACCCTTATCCACCTTATTATGAATATCATTAAGTAGATGTTGACGCCACACAACCACATGGATATTGTGTCTCCAGAATGATCTGTCTTCTGTTTGGGTCTTCAGTCTTTACAATTAGATATTCATACTTTTTTGTGGCTGCATCTAGTTGTCTAATTGATAGTCATCCTTTTCCATATTGCCCAACTTTTTTTTTTTGTCTTTTCCAGTAAACCGGTTCGCCTTATAATATGTCCAAAATAACACAGCTTGGGCTTGATCTGTTGAAACATTCATTGGTTTGTTTTTTCATTATCGTCCAAAATATTCTTAGAAATATTAGCATTATTTAATACAATTAGTTTCTTATCTCTAATTATAATTCACTAAAAAGGAATCATGGGAGTGAAGGGAATGCACTAGAGATATCCCGATATCCCAATACCGATACCAGGCATTTTCAAAAGTACTTGTATTTGTGAAAATGCCCCGATTCTTAAGGCAGATACCGGCCCTTTACATTTTTAAACAGCAGCGCTGTCCAAGTTCCCGCACTTGTGGAGACCTCGCAGTCTGCTGGGGACCTGCAGATAGCTGTCCATAGAAGTGCCTGTCCAGTTCTTTATCTCCTCCTCATCTTCCTTCCTGATGCAGGCACAGCCATGGACAGCCCCAGGGGTGGAACTACTGGCGGTGGAGCCAGAGCGGCTGTCTCAGGGATAGAAGCTGGGGGTTCTTGATGCCCACTGACAGGGGAGGACTGGGCTGGGAGAAGAATGGAGGTTGGGGGGCCCAACAGCGGAGATGGTCGGCCGGACAGTTCAAGAGGCCGGGGCCCAGCATCACGCAGCTTGGTTAGAGGAGTTCTGCTTTGGGGACATGTATTCTCAGAATACATGTCCCTAAAGCAGAATACTATTCTGCCTTAGGGACATGTGTTCTGCTGTGGGGACATGTATTCCCAGAATACATGTCCCCACAGCAGAATACATGTCCCTAAAGCAGAATAGTAGAAATTGGTGTGTGGCAGTTGCTCCATTTTTTTTAACTTAAAATGACACTAGACTCAGGAGTTAAATCTTAAAAATGCATTTGAGTAACCTAGCTATTAACAAAAATGTATCTTATTTGTGTATCACTCGGCTGTAGATCCTCAAATCATCTCTGAATTCATGCTGACACTGTCCTTCCTTTTGGAGTGTGGCTATGTTTGTTCCCCAAGGTCCATGTGTGTGTTGTAAAATAGCCACCACTCCAAGCTCACTCCCGTGTTTGACCATCACTTTGTAGTCCATCATGGGAGTGAGCTTAGAGCGGTGGCTACTTTACAACACACACAGGGACCATGGGGAACAAAAGTAGCCCCGCTCCAGAAGGAAGAACAGTGTCAGCACCAATTCAGAGATGATTTGAGGATCTACATCCAAGTGATACACAAAAATGCTAAATTTTTGTTAAACATTAGGGTAGCTAAATGCATTTGTAAGATTTAAGTTTAGAGTCAGTTTAAGAGAAGATCATTGTTAGACTTTGCATACACTTCAAAATCCCACTTGACAGTGTACACAAGTAACATCTTGACCCTTTGCCTGACAAAGGAACCCCACGTGGTTGTGAAACGTTGTAATCATATGCTGCAAACACTTGGCAAGATACTGAAGTGAGGGCCCAGTCACACCAGCAACAGTCCGCTCCAGTGCGTTCGGCCTCTGGAACACACTGGAACGCAACCCGGCCGGCTCACTTTTTGGGGGGGCGGGGGGGGCATGGTGGTGCATTGAACTCAATGGCACCGCAGCCACGCCCCACGCCCACAGTGCGATCGCCGGCACCCTAATACATGGCACATTAGTGCCTGCGTTCCAGTCCAGTGCGATCTGCAAAAAAATAGTGTTTGCAGCATTTTTTTGCAGGTCGCACTGGAACGGAACTCAGGCACTAATGTGCCATGCGTTCGGGTGACAGCGATCGCACAGCGGGCGGGGAGCATGGCTGCGGTGCCATTGAGTTCAATGCACCACCATGCGCCCTCCCGCCCCACAATAAACTGGGCCGGCCAGGGTGCGTTCCAGAGGGCGAACGCACTGGAACGCACTCCTGAAGGTGTGAGAGGGCCCTGAATAGGTGTGCGGATGACATATCTTTTAATAGTGTACACATGTGGGACTACTAGGCAAGAAGTCAACCATGTATTTAGTGCTCCCTACAAGATGACCTTCAATTGTCTTAATTGGTTTGTGTCGCATATACTATGTATCCATGTAGGTTAGTTAATAATATAGATACATCTGTGGTGAGGTTCACACACGCGCGCACACACACACACACACACACATCACATAGGCATTCTTATGGAAAATATGCAGTGAGAAGGATTTTTAGAAATGACTATTTTGCCACAAATTATTTTTACATATTTTACCACCTAGACTTTCAAATAAGTGTATATCTACACTGTAGCCAGCACCTGCTGACAGAGGGTAGAAAATCAAATGTATGCGCTTAAGATAACCTACACAAAGAAATGTTTGTTGGCCGCCACATTTCCATTTAGACTTATACAAGGCAGGTTTATTTGTGGAATCTTAGCAGTTATCCCAACTGGCCGCTTAGCTCATAGACACCTCCGCACAACAAATGCATTTTAGATCTAATCTATAAATGGTTTAGACATTCTTACCCCTGTTGCACCACAGAGTTCAAAATTAATCATTTTCCAAGTCAAAATCTTCCAGTTACAGTCTGATGAGTCAGAGACTCGTCATACACTCTGTGTGTAAGTTTGTGTGAGATTTGCAGCTGTAATAGGTTTTCAGCCTCTGCAGCTGCATGATATGCTAATGAGCAGAATGAGGAGGAATATGAGAGAGAGAGAGAGAGAGAGAGAGAGAGAGAGGGGGGGGGGGGAGAACATTTTAAACTGTCCAAAAATATAGTGTTGCAAAAATTAACACTAAACATATTTTAACCAATCAGACATGCCCTCTGCTGAGATCTCTAATGTCACTATTGTATGAACTTAATATAGGTTTATTTGACATTCCTATCTCGTTTTTAAATTCTTAAACAATAGAAAATGTTACGTGCCCATTCTATTTTTTTCACACCATCAGTGTCTGGCAGGTCTTGGTGACGCGGGTGCTGCTCATAGGAGGGAGGAGACCCGGCGGTTTGTGGTCACTGTGACAGCAATGTTTTAGCCCCGCCCACACGGGAGACTCTACAAAAGCCTCCGCATGGCAGAGAGCCGCACACACCGGCGTACAGAGGCTCCGAAACAAAGCACATCGACGCCAGTTTCTGTTAACAGGCACAAGGAGGTTGGCAGAGGAAGCAAGAGAGGAGACTCAGCAGACGAGAGAAGATCTTTACAGACAATGTAAGTACACCGCTCAATGATTGCCGACTGCAATGCAAAGCAAGCGCTGCGGAGCTGTCCATAGTGCTGAACTCTGTTCTGTCACTTCAACGGCTCCCGAACATCAGTGGCATTCACTTCCATTTGTTCTACTAACTTTCTTCTGGGTCTTTGCCTGAAAAATAAATGTAGCCTTGCAGTCTGTGAATCTGAAGGCTGCAATCCTACAGCAGTTATTGTTTTATGTACTTAATGTACTCCACGTTGCTGTTTATTTTCTAACATTCAATTCTAGTATTTGAGATGTAGCAAAATATTGTAATTGCTGTTATGTATTATTATTATTATTATTATTATCATTATTATTATTATTATTCAGGATTATATAAGAGTTGCCAAACACTCTTATCACTTGCAAAAATAAAAACTCTATGGAGTTTCTTAAACTTAAATAGGTTTTTTTTTAAAGTGAAGTTTGCATGGATGTGTTTATTGAAAGCTTGTATTAAGTTTATTAATAAGTGAAGCTTTCAAAAGCCACTTAGTTATCTTTCTAAGAGAACAGAACATACAGGTACTGGTAAGACACACACACGCACACACACACACGCGCGCGCTACACACACGCTACACACACACACACGAAACAGGCATACTCACATAGGTTGAACCTGTGTCTTTATTCAACATCAAATACAATGTCACTATTGTAAAAGTTGGCTGCAGAGGATTCCTACTGGCCAGAAGCACCAAAAAAAGAAAAACCTTGAAAGTGTATTTAGTAATTTGGAAAGATAAGGATGTAGAAAGTTTTCTACAGGAGCAGTTGTCCATGGCAACTAATCAGTTTTTCTCTTTCATTTGCAAAGCTTAACTGAACAAGGTGAAGAGAGAAGCTGATTGGTTACTATGGGCAACTGCTCCAGATTCTGTCTGCTACAGTTTTGATAAATCCACCCCATCAGTGCCTAAAGATACTTGAATGTGTATAGATATAACATTTTAAACTTCCCATATACACACATAGGTTTATATATAAACACACAAAAGGGTCAGTTCACAAAGCTTTACTACAAGAATAAGCATCTTTATTTTAGCCATGTGACTGCAAATTTCAGATCTAATTGGACTCAATTAAATATTGCTGTCTCTTTTTTGGAAATAAGTATTCTTATCCTGGTGTGTTAGCTTTGTGAAGTGAGTCTATAGCTTTGTCCTATTTCTTGAAACATAACGTTGTGATAATTTAATGCTCATTACAAACACATGGATAACATTCTGTACAATTAACACCAAATCCACCAAGTTGAATAAAGTGGCAGTATACATAATCTATTGGATTTCTCAGTATGAATACGTTAATACAAAAATCAGAATAGTCTTCAGTGCTGCAATGATTGTTTTGCTTTAGAGATATTAATTCTATTCTTGCTGTTTTCTTTCAGATGCAGGGAAGCATGCGATTGTGGATGTCTATGCTGACTATATGTCTATCATTGCTGATCTGCTTGGGAACATTTGCAGAGGCGTACCCATCAAAACCAGACAATCCAGGAGAGGATGCACCAGCAGAGGACATGGCCAAATATTACTCAGCACTGAGGCATTATATAAACCTCATAACAAGACAAAGGTGAGATTGAAGTTCATTCCGTTTTGGAACTGTGGGGATACCATGTGATTTGAAGTCAGTTTAAGCTAAGTCCAAGTATTTTGTTTGCATTCAACACTATTTCGAGCATATTTATAAAGTATAACAATATAAACCTAATATTCAGTTTATGGTGAAAAGATGTGCAATAACCTAAGGTAACCAACTCTCAGCTTTCATTAGTATTATTAGGGGAAAAAACTAAGGGATGCTGATTTCTGATTACCTTCTGTGGGTGATTGCACATCTGTGTAATTAGATACAACTAGTATATTCTGAGCATAGTGGTTGTGTTAGAGTCAAGTTTCGAAAAAAACTCCTTAAAATCTGCAGTGCAATTGGCTCATTAGTTAATTGTGAAGCGTATTAATTAAAACCACCATGAGGTCCATCTTTATTGCAGCAATTACGTTGTATCAAATGTGGCAACACAGTTTCACAGATGTGGGATAATACAATCGAGGCTTTTAGAAATCCTTCTTAGATGAGCAAAAGAGTTGGCAATATTTTGTAATAAATTGGTTGGTTTTAATTCTCAAGCAGATGTAATTAGGAAAAGCAAGGTTCTTAAAGAACATAAAAACATGTAAGAAGACTTAGGTAAAAGATTAAAAAGCAATGGGCACTTACCCTTAACATGTATTCAGTAATCATTTTTTTTATTGTTCTAATTGTTTTATACAGAGGAGAGGTGAAATCTGATTGGTTGATATGGGTTATTGCACTTTGCACAGTATCATTGTGGTTAGTAACACCATACTAATTTATCCCAAAAGAAAGAAAACCAACCATGCTAAAAAATTTAATGAGTCATGCAAATTAAAAAGCAGTCAATGAAAATTATCATTATTATTATTATTATTCAGGATTATATAAGAGTTGCCAAACACTCTTATCACTTGCAAAAATAAAAACTCTATGGAGTTTCTTAAACTTAAATAGGTTTTTTTTTAAAGTGAAGTTTGCATGGATGTGTTTATTGAAAGCTTGTATTAAGTTTATTAATAAGTGAAGCTTTCAAAAGCCACTTAGTTATCTTTCTAAGAGAACAGAACATACAGGTACTGGTAAGACACACACACGCACACACACACACGCGCGCGCTACACACACGCTACACACACACACACGAAACAGGCATACTCACATAGGTTGAACCTGTGTCTTTATTCAACATCAAATACAATGTCACTATTGTAAAAGTTGGCTGCAGAGGATTCCTACTGGCCAGAAGCACCAAAAAAAGAAAAACCTTGAAAGTGTATTTAGTAATTTGGAAAGATAAGGATGTAGAAAGTTTTCTACAGGAGCAGTTGTCCATGGCAACTAATCAGTTTTTCTCTTTCATTTGCAAAGCTTAACTGAACAAGGTGAAGAGAGAAGCTGATTGGTTACTATGGGCAACTGCTCCAGATTCTGTCTGCTACAGTTTTGATAAATCCACCCCATCAGTGCCTAAAGATACTTGAATGTGTATAGATATAACATTTTAAACTTCCCATATACACACATAGGTTTATATATAAACACACAAAAGGGTCAGTTCACAAAGCTTTACTACAAGAATAAGCATCTTTATTTTAGCCATGTGACTGCAAATTTCAGATCTAATTGGACTCAATTAAATATTGCTGTCTCTTTTTTGGAAATAAGTATTCTTATCCTGGTGTGTTAGCTTTGTGAAGTGAGTCTATAGCTTTGTCCTATTTCTTGAAACATAACGTTGTGATAATTTAATGCTCATTACAAACACATGGATAACATTCTGTACAATTAACACCAAATCCACCAAGTTGAATAAAGTGGCAGTATACATAATCTATTGGATTTCTCAGTATGAATACGTTAATACAAAAATCAGAATAGTCTTCAGTGCTGCAATGATTGTTTTGCTTTAGAGATATTAATTCTATTCTTGCTGTTTTCTTTCAGATGCAGGGAAGCATGCGATTGTGGATGTCTATGCTGACTATATGTCTATCATTGCTGATCTGCTTGGGAACATTTGCAGAGGCGTACCCATCAAAACCAGACAATCCAGGAGAGGATGCACCAGCAGAGGACATGGCCAAATATTACTCAGCACTGAGGCATTATATAAACCTCATAACAAGACAAAGGTGAGATTGAAGTTCATTCCGTTTTGGAACTGTGGGGATACCATGTGATTTGAAGTCAGTTTAAGCTAAGTCCAAGTATTTTGTTTGCATTCAACACTATTTCGAGCATATTTATAAAGTATAACAATATAAACCTAATATTCAGTTTATGGTGAAAAGATGTGCAATAACCTAAGGTAACCAACTCTCAGCTTTCATTAGTATTATTAGGGGAAAAAACTAAGGGATGCTGATTTCTGATTACCTTCTGTGGGTGATTGCACATCTGTGTAATTAGATACAACTAGTATATTCTGAGCATAGTGGTTGTGTTAGAGTCAAGTTTCGAAAAAAACTCCTTAAAATCTGCAGTGCAATTGGCTCATTAGTTAATTGTGAAGCGTATTAATTAAAACCACCATGAGGTCCATCTTTATTGCAGCAATTACGTTGTATCAAATGTGGCAACACAGTTTCACAGATGTGGGATAATACAATCGAGGCTTTTAGAAATCCTTCTTAGATGAGCAAAAGAGTTGGCAATATTTTGTAATAAATTGGTTGGTTTTAATTCTCAAGCAGATGTAATTAGGAAAAGCAAGGTTCTTAAAGAACATAAAAACATGTAAGAAGACTTAGGTAAAAGATTAAAAAGCAATGGGCACTTACCCTTAACATGTATTCAGTAATCATTTTTTTTATTGTTCTAATTGTTTTATACAGAGGAGAGGTGAAATCTGATTGGTTGATATGGGTTATTGCACTTTGCACAGTATCATTGTGGTTAGTAACACCATACTAATTTATCCCAAAAGAAAGAAAACCAACCATGCTAAAAAATTTAATGAGTCATGCAAATTAAAAAGCAGTCAATGAATCCATTAACTGACACGCTATACTTTTGTAAATCTTGTACAGAGTGCAATTTCTTTTCTTTTTATATCTTATATATTTGTGGTTATATGTATCAAATATATCTAGTTTAGTTGTTTATTGTACTGTCCCGAATGACTGTTGGCATTGGCAAGTATTTGATTTCATGATTTAGAATTTTAATCAATTCATGTGAGTGAACCGACTTTCACCGTGATTTGTTTTTTGGAATTCTAAACTGATTAGTGTAAAGTGATGAGGCTAGCCAACAGACATTTATGCATTCTGACACAGTGCCCACAGAACACTGTTAGAGGAGTTGATTTAAACAAAAATCAGAAGCAAATGGCACGCAGTGGAAAGTCAGAACTGCCCGAGAGCACTAAATGTGTAAGAAAAAAATCATATCCAACTTTAAACTAAGCTTTTTTTATAATATGCAGGACAGTCATCACAGCGAGAAGCAGGATGACAGAGCAACCTTAATAGATGCTAATAGGTCCCCAGGACATTTAACACCCAGTTGAATTTACAGAAACAAGCTCAGAAGATATCTGAGTCCGGATGATTCATAAGGGTAGTTACTAAACTGAAAGCACCTTAGCAGATTACCACGGGTGAACATACATAACCATATACGTGAAGTTAGTGCTGATCTAGAGGAGCCATACTTCCAGTATCATATACGTTACCAGTACACACAGAGGTGTTCTGGTCCCCTTGTTCATAACTAATTAATAATATCATAATTTCTAATAATCACATTGGGGTTGTGTACTTACTTTTTTCATGTCCTCTTGACAAAATATTTTATTTGAGTATTGTTACCTAATGGCTTATTACAAATTGAAATTTGGTTGAACGTATCCACTACAAACATGTCAAGCACTATTCTTCCCTGTACAGCATTGATGGGTAATTTGACAGTTTACATGGTACTGCAACAGGAATGCAAAAGGAAATTATGTTATGGGTACAAAATCCATAACAACCTATAGATTTAATTTGACTATAGTCTAATGTAATCATTGAAAACACTTGATTGGTAGACATTTTTTTATTTCTATTTGGTTTAAATAAATGCATGTGTTCAAAACAAACTCCAGTAGTAGTAGTAGTAGTTTCTTTTGTCACATACAATGTTATTTTTGCCTGACATGTGTAGCTAAATGTTCAAACAACATATGTGGGGTGGTTTACTAAAGGACACAAATTTCTGTTAGCCAAGTGAACCCATGATCACATTAAAGACCCAGTTGTCTGTAGAGGAGCTAAGTAAAAAAAATATTGTAATTTCCTTTGCATGTGATCAGGTAACTGAGGAGTATGCAGCTTCACTTAGCTAAGTAAAAATAATATTCTCCCTTAGATACTTAATCACATAAGGCTCATTTCACAAATCACAAATATAAGGATCTTCTTTTGTTTTAGCCATGCGACTGTAATTTAAAAATGTAATTGGTTGCAGCTGAAAATAGCTGTCACCTTTCTGATAAAAGGATCTTTATCCTGATGTGTTAGCTTTAAGAACTGAGCCTGTAGTCATTTGTTATGCTTTTGTTGAGTATCTAGTTTATCACTTGATATAACGGCAGAGCTAAATTGCTTAACAGGTATTTATTTAGTGGTAACCAAAAAATAAAGTGGTATATGTAAAAGCCTTTTAAAGAAATTAGTTACACCAACAACTATGTGGCTGCAAACAGAGGAATGATATGTATACAAAGATCCATCATCATCAACCATAACGAAGAACGGTCCGTGTGATATCAACCAGTAAGAAAATGGCACACACAAATGTCATATATTATTAGGAAGCCTGTATTGTAAATTGAAAACATTAGCCAGAAAATAGCTTGTGAAAGGGAAGGATGTGACATGAATCTTTAAAGGCTTTGAAGAATCAAGTGTGCGAGGTGTTCAGATCAGAGAAGACAGTTAGGCAGATTTACTAAAAGAGTTAAAAATGTTTATACAAAAAGAGCGAAGATTTACTTCGATAATTGGCGCGAATCTTTATTTTAATTTTTTTTGTGTGAATATTCTCGACTCGTTTATTAAATTAGCCCAATTACTTCCAAATCATTCATAATGTTCCTAAACTATATTGCCATAGACTTGCAAGGCTTCTTTTTGCAATTAGGTCAGTATAAATATTATCAAGTATGTGTTATTTTAGAAATATCTTTATAGGGGTAAATAAATAAACACAGAAAACAGTATGTAACAAACTATAGCACACTTCTCCATGCTATATTCACCACAAAGTATTGGCTTACATTTTTTGCCATTGTGTTTCCCAGATAAAGTTCATATTAGATTTTATATTATTTACTATTGTAAACATTATTGAAATCTTGCACTTGTAATTATTTGGATTAACAGTTTATGTTTTGAGAACTGTTTCACTCACACCTGTTAATCATTAACCTGATAATCATTTGATATGTTGTTTTATAGCTTGTATACTGTGGTGTTTATTTACTAAAGGCAAATAGGCTGTTCACTTCGAAAGGGAATTTGTACTTTACAATGGAATTTTCTCTTAGCTTAGTAAATATGTTAAAAATTCACTTTGCAAAGAATACCCAATCACTAGCAAGGGGAGAAAAAAAGAAAGAAAAACAGTATTTGTTTTGCTAGCATATGATTGGTTGATGAAAGTCAGCAGAGCTTCTCCTCTTGATATGGTCAGTGGAGACCAGACCCCCATGCAGCTGTGCAGCAGCATATTACTTCTAATAGTGATCTACTTCTAGCGGCAATCAGCCACCAATAGATAACTATAGCAATGATCTATTGACACAGGGAGACACGGGACAGAGCTGCAACAGCTACGCCCATGCCTCCATATTTGGAGGAAGTATCATGACATCACTCATGACGTTACCTAAAGTCCCAATGTAAACACAATGCGGAAGCTCCTGTGGAGTGCTGTGTAGTAAGATCAGAAGCCCAAGAGCTGATTACTCCAGGTCCTGGGCTTACTGCCGGGTGCCGGCTGTTACAGACAGCCAGTGGTGGCAGCCTAGATGCCGAACGGTACCTAAGATACCGGGTGCTGTATTAAAACAAAAAACCACTGTCACAGTGTCATTTTAAATGGAAGGTGGGGCTCAAGTGGTTAAGTGTAGAAATAGTTTTAAGCTGGCCATACACCTATAGATTTTCTGCAGATTTTCTATGGTCAGAAGGAAAAAGTGCAACAGATTTCTCCATCTACGCTAAACTGTGTGGATGGAGGAATCTCCCACTGGGCCAAGCTTCAGCATCTTGCTAGCCGGCCCCGCTGGCTCTCAAAATACTTGAACAATGCCTGCATCCAATCAGATTGTTCAGGTATTTTGACAGCCAGTGGGGCCGACTAGCAAGAGCGGGAGATTACTCCATAGCGTAGATGGAGGAATCTGTTGCACTTTTTTCCATCTGACCATAGAAAACATGCAGATAATCTATAGGTGTATGGCCAGCTTTAGACTAATTACTTTCATAGGAGAGTAACAGAAATAAAGGCATTATCATAAGACAATATAAAAGAGGTATGACAGTGAATAAAACAAATATTAGACAATTATCTCCAATTTTAAAACATTTTTCCTGATTTTCCATTTTTATTTATTTAATAATGTGAAGTGCTACATAAGCTGATTTGTCTTCTGTATGATTCTGGATGAAACCTGGATGAAGTTTATTCTCTGAATCATATTGGGCTAGATATACATGTCTTGTCTTATAACCATGGACAGTATTATACCAAATTATTATTATTTTTTATTTCCATGTAATACATTTTCTCATGTGAGTGAAAAATTATAGCTTGAAACTTGTATTTTTTGCAGTTCTCTCTGAGAGTGGCTTCAGTGTGTGATAAAATGTTATAATTATTATCTTCAGCTACATGACTGCTATTTAATTACATGACTAAGACAATGCAGCTCAGCATGCGCATAAGTGAGTGTGACATTTTGTAGCTGCTTTTCTTCTCTTTTGTATAACTGCAAGGGTTACAAATATAATTTAATAATGCTGCCACAACAAGAATATATACCTGCAGTCTTTAATCTTTTATTACTTACTTTGGTGTGATAATTCTGTTTGTTGGCTCATCAGATATGGCAAGAGATCAAACCCTGAAGCAATGCTGTCTGATGTTTGGTGGAGAGAAAGCACAGAAAACATTCCTCGATCCCGGTAAGAAGGGCTTTAACGGTATTAATATTTTACGGATTCCCTAACCTTATTGGGTTTTTTTGCATAAGTTTGCAGAATTGTACTAAGATATATGGAAATATACATTCAAGATTAGCAACTACGTAAGAGAGGGAAAGAGAAAGGGTGTTAGTATGTGTCTGAGTGGGTTTTTAAGTTTATATATGCTTCATATAATAAATTGACTTTAGTTTTACATTTTGGATTCCATATACATTCCTATTATCTGACACAGTATCTTGGGTGTGTGTGTGTGTGTTTACATGCTGTCTTCCATTTGTGTGCTTGTAACATAAAAAGGGTTTATATATTTTAGAAGCACACATGCATAGTACATGGATTCCAGTCTTTTCTTTTGCAGTTTTTTTTGTACATTGGCACAGTGCTGGCAGCTAAAGGACTAGCACCATGCAGGATATTAGGAAGACAACAGTCTAGGTCACGATAGATAGCAAAGTAAAGCATCAACTGCAATTTCAGCAGCAATCTTAAAAAATGATGTTCACTTTCCGAGACAGGAAGAGAAGTGCACAAATTACAATGTCATCAAACTGTGAAATAGTCTAGATATGAAAGCTGGCACTTTCTTGGCACAGGTTAATGTTTTATTTTAGACATTATTCCATCATTCAAATTTCATTGTTTAGACAATTTAAAAAACTTCAGGCAAAAATATAGGTCTATGAATTTCACATTGGGTCCACACGATTCAGTCCACATTAAAAACAAAACCAAAAAAAACTTCTTGTTACTTTTTAATATCCTTTGAAATCTACAGAGAACCTGAAATTTTCAAGTCACAACTTTATTTATAATACAGCAAGGCAAATATGTCTGATCGTTTGATATATTCCAAAAGGCTTATCTAATGCCATTATCTGCTTTGTGTATTAATGAGTGAATGAGTGTGTTTAATTTGTCAAAGCCTTAGCCAACAAGGTCCTCAGACTACATGTAGTAGCAAATCAGTGAACAGCTAATGTTGTAATCCAGCTTCATATTAAGGGCTATTCCACAAATAAAGGTGCCATAAACCTAGAGATTTAGCGAGCCAGATAGCCTGCTGCAGAAAACGAATGCCATAGTGATAATTTATTTATTCAGCAGGTAAGCCATGTTCCTGGAGTTAGTTTTCATGTTGTGTTGGTACAATGAGTTAGCAGTAGCAGAGTCTTCTACATTGATAAATGCAGAAAACATGGAGTTTAAAAAAAGTTGCAAAAGGTATCACTTAGGTGTCTAGTTATTAAAAAAAAATTATAGCATAGCTATTCATCCAGTGAAACGCATATACATTAATTCTGTGCAAATTAACCAGCTGTTGCGAGACTGGGGCAGAATCACATGTCCTTAAAGGAGAACTATGAGGTGAGTGTTTTTCACTCACCTCATAGTTCTAGCCGACCTGTGACAATGAGACTGTCACAAGTCGGCTCAGTAGATCGGGAAGTGAGCGAGCACATACCGGTGTTCGCTCACTTCTCGATCCTGTCACGGCTCTCTGACGTGACACGGGAGGGGCTGGATTCCCCACTCCCAGTTCTGATCCACCAGCGCTGACTGGCCGAACGGAAGGGGAGGGGGCGGGTACAGCTGGCTCTGCCTCTAGATAGGCAGAGCCAGCTGTCACTCACGCAGCTGGGCGGATCTCGACATCGATGTCGGGATCCACTCTGGCTGCCGCGTCTCAGTATACCGCTAGCTGTAGCTCGCGGTATACTGAGCTTAGGGTGATGGGAGGATGCTAGTTTGTGTCCTCCTGTTACCCTAAGGAGAACTATGGGGAAAAGCCCTGACACCATAGTTCTCCTTTAAGGCTATTTTCTCTTCTGGTGAAATGTTCTTCATATAATATACGGGCAGTAGTGAATTGGAGAAATATTTCACTATGGCCACTAGATGGAGCTGGGAAGGCGGCTCCATGCTACCTTGTCACCACGTGACGAGGAAGCATGGAGCCGGGCTTTCTGGCCAATCAGAAAGCCGGGGGGTGGGGGGGTAATGACTCACCTATCTGGCTTCCTGACTGGCCAGCTTCCTGACCAATCAGGAAGCTGAGCGACAATTCTTTACACGCCGCCCAGCTTCCTGATTGACTGTGAAGCCAGCTCCATGCTCCCTGGTGTTGAGGGAGCATGGAGTCGGCTTCCCAGTCAATCAGGAAGCCAGGCAGTGTGTAATGACTTGCCGCCCAGCTTCCTGATACCGAAAGTTCTGGTAGGCATCAGGAGCATTTGGGTGAGTACCAGTATTCTGCCAAATACTCTATATCGGCACCGATACTAGTATCGGTATCGGTGCATCCTTACTTTGAAGCATTCTGGCTCCTACACGTAACACTCAACTTCGGGCTGCTGTAGGGAGTGAGGGATATAAATTGAGTAATGAAGTGCTCCAGTCGCATCCCCCCTCCCCACTACTTTCCCATTCATAGAATGCTTTTCCGCAAAGAATACAAGGAGTTTTGTGATTGGGGATATGGTGTTACATATCCGCCCCTCCTCTCCTTCTCTCCTCCAATCACAAAACGCCTTGTATTCTTTGAGAAAATACAAGACATTTTGTCAATGGAAGGGAGGGGATGTGATCAGAGCACTTTACTGCTTGAGTCACATCCCTCACTACCCGCACTGCCCTGAAGCCAAGTGTAGGAGCAGGTATACTGCAAAGTAACATTTTTATACATTGCAGCAGACCCTCCACACATAACATGCAGCTTTTTAATGATAATTTTCACACCCAAAGTGTTTTGTTTTGGAGTATTACTTTAAGTGTATGTAAACCTAAAAATTAGAAAAAAAAACATTTCCCAAATGTATTGTATGTAATGTAGAGGGGGCAATACTGTTTTAGATCTTAGGAGAATTACCATGCATAAAACAACTCTAAATATTTTCTGCTGTTTACCTATACTGGTTTTGTCATTCTAGAAAGTTGTTTTGTGTATGGGCACCTTTAGTCTTTCTGCTAAATAAAATATAACAGTATTAGTAGAAACACTTTCTACTTCATTGACTGGGTCAACAATCCTGAAAGGAACTGGACCCAGTATAACCTCAGAGACCATTAACAACAAAGCTCATTGCTTTTGGGAATCCAAAGCAAATAGAAACCTCCTTTTTCAGAAGTTTTCACCAAAACATGTGTCATATTGGAAGATTTCTTCTCATTCCTGTTCCGGTGTGAACTGAAAAATTTTGGATTTCCCAACACTTCCAGTCCCAGTCACAATGGTCACCAAGACCCAGTGGGGACATAGACACTAGTAAAGCCTAATTGGGGTTTTACAGTTCCCTTCCCTGCATGTATATAGTATCCAAAATGAAATAAATGTTTTTAATCATAAAAGGGCGGCACATAATGTTAGTGAAGCTGTTGCAAGGAAAGCTGACAAACTGCATAGGGAGAGATTGGGGTCAGTTAGGAAACTGTACTTTAATGCTGATTGCTAGGCCTTTGCTAAGCCTAGACCTTTATTTTAAGTTAAATGGATTTCTTTTTTTTTTTTTTGCAGCAAGGCTTCTCTTTTAAAAACGTGGGCTATTGTTTGTGGGTGGTATTTTGTTTTGTTTTCATTTTAATGTTATATTGATAGGGCCTTTTTAAAGTTTGGGGTGCTCAAACCACAGTATTAACTTATTACTAACCATCTCTTCTTGAAGCTGCCTTTTGTTTGAAAGAAAAAAACTAAGCGCAAGAACAGTCACATTAGTAACAGTCACATAACCTGACAAAATAAAAAATATAAAAATAAAACTTAGACATACAATTTAGGCCTATTATCCCTATTTAAAAATGTCCTTCTGCTGGCCAATTTTACACTGCTATATCCTCTGCAGTATATTAAATCTTGTAGCAAAACCCCAGTCTGTGCTCTTTGTCTCTAGTAAATTTGGGCCTGGTCTTGCTATTTACACTTGTCCTGTTTCTGATCAGTTTTACACTACTGTATCATCTACAGTCTCTTAATTCTTGTAGTAAAACACCCGCCTACACTCTTTGTCTTTAGTACATTTAGGCCTATTATCACTGATTAAAAATGTCCTTAATTCAGGCAGTAAAGCCTCAACCTACGCTCATTATCTCTAGTGAATTTGGACCTAGCCTTGCTATTTCAAACTCTCCCACTGCTGGCTAATTTTACACAGCTTTGTCATATGTGGTCTTTTAATTCTTGTAGTAAAATATCAGTTCCACAGCTAGGCATGTGCTGCCAGCATATGCTGTTGCTGAGACTTTCTGTGAAAATTCCATAACACCACATACAGCTTTAGGGCATCTCCCAAAAATTTTGTAATTTCAAAGATACACTCAAAGTCATTGGCAATACATATGTTTTTTGACAGTAGTAAGCCTATTAGCACCCCCGAACTTTAATTGAAGTACAGGTTTGCAAAATTTCAAGCAAGACAAACCAAGGACACCATTTGGATAGAATTGTTTAAGCTAAAAGTTAAATATTGATAACTATTTCTACGTTGGAGTCATATGGGAATGCCAGTTTGATGGGAGCTGCTCTTTGTAGTGTTTGCTATCTCATACTGGATACAGTAGATGTTTAGAGGGCATAGATACAGGCTGCAAGCAGGAAAAAAATAGTCTGGGTAAAATTGTTACTATGGGAAGGAAAGGCTGAGGTGGCATTAACTGATTTCCTTGTTGTTGGACGCATATAATTTTTTTTCCAGTGCATATCTTTCATTCCTCAGTGGGATAACGTTTTCACCATTCAGCTGTGTATTTAACAAAAACAAGGGGTAATTTCCCCAAATCAATCTAAAATGTCTGCAGTATGATAGTAATACATAAAGTACAGCTGTATCTCTAATTTATAATCTGGCAATGCCTTGCCCTCACCCCCTTGATAAGAAGTACCTGCAACATACAGACCTCAGATGCAGTGTAGACCATTATTCCATTATTTGCTCCGTGCTACGCTGGGCATTGTTCACAGCACATCTGAAATGCCTCTGTTATAGTGT